AACGGGGTTCAAGACATCAGAAGATGATGGTTGATGTTGCATTTAAATTTTTGAAGATTGTAGTTATCAGGGAAGCAAGTAAACAGAAGCGAGTTCCACAGGTGGGAAGTGCAAGAAAAGAAGCTGTTAGAGTAGAAGTGGCAGTTACATTTAACTATTTCAGCAGTAAAAGGGTGGGACCTAGATGCCAGTCTGATAGCAAGCTTAAATTTATGTAGCAGGGGCACCAGGGAAGAAAGCTTGACAGGACAGTAGCCATGGAAATATTTGTAGAAAAGACAGAGGAAAACCACATCACATCCGTGAGAAAGTGACTGGAGTCGAGATGACAAGTCAGGATCAATTACATGGCAGGCCTATTGCATACAGCAGCAGTATATCTCACAAAACGAAATCCCTGCCAACAGAGGATCAGATTGCAATCAAAAGAGCCAAGGCTGCAGTAAGGAAAAGAAAGTTCTGTGCAAATTAAACCCAGTTCAAATAGCAGCCAGGCGAGCTTCTAATGCTGACAATATGAAAAGACTTAGGGACACTCCTGAACAAGCCAAAGGCCTGATCAAGAGCCCTCTGCAGGAACTAGCTTAATTGCTGCATGATAAGACAGCTTTTAAGCTAGTAATGTCATAAAGATATATTTGTATGTAAATAAATAATTTGCAACTTATTAAATATTCATCCTAAAAAGGTCATCAAGAAACCACAGAAATAACTTTAAAAATTATTTATGAACTTTTAAGTCAATGTCAACAGGTTTACTTACTGTGGTATTTGTACAATTTTTATTATGCCTTTATTGGTTTCCTTTGAAAGTAGGTTGAGTTTTTATTTATCTGCATAAGATCTTTTAATATCTTTCATTAAACAGCAGATATGTTTTATTGATTTGTTTGTTTAATAGCATGTCAATTCCTTAAAGGTCATTTAATGTCGAAATTTAATTTTCTTTGGCGCTTTTGAAGTAATAAAAATGATATACGTTATTCTGCTTTTACAATTGAATACATAGATAATGCTCAGCTTTTGTGCATATACATGTTTGTGTGGAGATGATTACTAGAGGCAGTGATGTGTATGTTTCATGTTGTTCATATTTTGGAATACAGTTTGATTTCTTTAAGAAATTGTAGGATATTATATGGATTAATCTTGTGAAAGAGTTCTTTCGTGTTGGTTGCCTGGTTTTGTTTGGTGGCACATAGACCTCTATGGATTATTTAATGCCAAAATCTAAATATTTTGTATGTAATTTTATACTTTCAGAATAAAGGTATGTTTTTACGATATATATTTTGTAAATCATAAAACGTATTGTTGGCAATTTTACTATAAAAATGTACTGTTGATTTTTGTTATGGAGTTCACTATTTGCATATAGCTGAGACCCTAGCAGATGCTATCACCTGGGTCAGGGTGAATTTAAGAACAACAATTAAGAGGTGGTTCTACAGTCTTCAAAACTGAATCTCCCAATCAGAGGCCTTGTTACCAAATGTAGTTTGTCATACCCAGGACAAGATGTTATTATAACCTTGTTGAGCAAATTTCAGACTTTGAATTAATTGTATAGACTCTTTTGCAAAGTCAGTTTTGTTAGATCCTTTTGAGTTTAATATCTTATTATTTCTTAAAAAGTTCAAAACAATTTTTAACATTTTTGATTGTCTTTGAAATAAAGACTAGCACCATTTTAAATGGAACAGATTTTTGCTTTTCTTTCTCTGCACAGAGCCTTTCAGCATTTGTTTGCATTTTGGACATGTGTTAAAATAGACACAGAATGAATTACTTCAGAGAAAAATACTTTCTCATTCAAATGGAAATTGTTGATCTTTTGTAAGCAACTCTACTTAATGGATTCTATAAAAAACCACACAAATATCATCCTTTTGTTTATTCTAAACTATTTTCTATTTTAAATTTTTTCAAGTATAACATTGACTATTAATGATGCATGAGGTTATTTTTGTCCTTATCTTAAAATCTATTTTCCTTCTGAGAAATTAGTTTAAGTTGATAACATGATGCAACCAGGTTTGTCAGATCTCGCTTGTTTGTCTCAACCACCTTTGATCCATGAGGGAGGTGCTTCTGGCCAAGCGTGTGGGCTTTTCCATCACACAGTTTCCCACCAAAATCAAACTTATGTGAATGGCCTCGTCAAACTCTTTGATTCACAGCCATCTCTGCTGCCACCACCACCACCACCAGAGGTGAGAAAGAGAATAGAGAGCAGATGACAATCCTGATGCTCAGATGTGAACAGGTGCTCGCAACAAAGTTGATAACCTACCACCTGGAATCATCCTTTCACTTTACTATTTACTATTCACTAGCTTGTTGAAATACTATGAAGACAACTTTAGAAAGTGAACTTTATTTTCATTTATCTTTGTTGTTTAATTTCAGTTGTAAATACAATGTTTAATGAGGACTCTTCTGTAATTTCAGCCTGCATTTTACATGTTCAAACTGACCTCTTTATATTCTGAAATAGAAAAAGCACTAAAAGACTTTATGGATATAGTATGCAGTTATGATTTCTGAAGATTTATTCATAAGTCTTTTTTTTTTTTTTTTTTTTTTTTTTAAAAATTCCATGTCCATTCAGAGTGTAGGCACTCATCACTCTCTACAGATTATTGCTTTATTGTCTGAATTGCCATGACTCCCATGGGTTCATGGATATTTGCATGTAAGTGAATATCACTTAAATGAAAATATCCTTGGGAAAAGTATGAATCCATCTCCTCTTCCAGCTATGGATTAAATAGGACTTGTATCTAGAAAATGCATTCCTATTCTGAAAAATTTAATACAATATTCACTTGCTAAAATAAAGAATTATTCTTATAATTCAAAGTATATTTCAGCTTTAAATAACCTACACTGGGTTGATAAACTGTAAAAATACATTCATGAACTACTATGGAGGATTCCCATTGCCTTCCCCATTTTGGTTTTGAATTCACTTTTCTTTCTCAAAGTTGTTTCCATCCAAGGCTAAAGCATCCAGTCTGAGTTAAATAAACTCATAGACTGGAGTGGGGAGAAGAGACAAGATTCATACTTTTTTTTATTTTTTTTATTTTTAAGGCATTGGTGGGTAAATGAAGACAACAGACTTAACCCAGTATTAGAACATTAGGGCAGGTTGATTTTTCACTTTTATAGGAAACCAACATTGCATTCAGTGTGAAAGCTGGGATTTGATGCAATATATGGACACCAAAAATTAAATGCAGAAATTTTCAAGGTTGTATTATATTTACTGTTAACTGGAAATGGATTGTTGTATGTATGTATTTTGAAAATAAAACATTCTATAATGCTAAATATATACATACAGCAATCCATTTCCACTTAACAATAAATAAAATTCATCCTTGAAAATGGCTCAAAGTATAGCCGAAAGCGCTTGGAAAAATAAAACCTTTTAAGTTCAACTGCTTTTTTCTGTATATATTAGCAGTGGGTGTTACTTATTTAAAGCTAGAATGAAAAACCTGTGCCTTTTGAGGCTAGATTTTAAGGAAAGTGTCATTGACTTTGTAAATTAATTTTCTAAGTATGTGTATGGTAATGAGTCTGTTTTGTCCCACAGGGAGGGAAGTGTTTCATCCCTTCTTTCGTAAAATTAAGAATGTAATTAGGAGTAGGTGATTTTTTTTCCCCTGTGTGTCTGTGTGTGGTGACTATGATAATAAATGTGAGGTGTTCTTGTAGTCTTTCTAAAAGTAACAAGTTCTTTTTCATTTGTATTTTATAGAGAACAATAGTGTTATTTACATCTTCTATTTCTTTGTTTTATGGCTGCATAGCTGAATAGTTAGAATGTTCAATTTCCAATGATTAGTCCCTAGTTTGAATCTCACCATGGTCAAATTGTTAGGAAGTTGACTTTTTACTGTTATTGGCCTGGGATAGTTATCTCAATGTGCAGAACCTTTGGAAAGTGCCTGAAAATCATACCATGAATTGATCCAAGCCTTGTGATTAAAATTGCATAGCTGAAACTGTTTAGAAGCCATCAATGGTTGTGTTTAGCATAAAGTCAAAAGGCATTGAGCATACTGGCCTTTTTTTTCATTTTTTTTTTCATTTTTTTTTTCTTTTAAAACTGTTGATCACACCAGTCTTTACTAGAAACTAAGCTCCACTCAGCATAGTTGCAGTATGAACCACATGTGAGTTCTGTGGGTGTCAACAAATATAAATGTGCCTGAGCAAGTGTCTGCAATAAGGATTGGATTGCTGCTCTCGTAGATGGGTGTCTTTAGTAAAAAGTAACTGGCCATTATTATTTGTGATTTTATAAATTTGTGGTATTTCAAATGGTTAGAAATATTTTGTTACTATATAAGCTACTCTTTATTATATAATTTCCAAACTGGTTCTGATCCTGGGTATGACAATAAACTACATCTGGCAGCAAGGTCTCTGCTGGGAGGTTTTGAGGATCATACCGTTGTCCCCAGATCCACTTTGACCTGAGGTGGTAGCAACTATTAGGCTCTCAGAAATAGTTGCCCCCAAAAAGGGGTCAGAATACTGTGAAAGTATAGAAATACATTTTTATAGTAAAAATACCAGCAATACATTTTTGCTTTAAAAAAAAAAAAAATTATGAATGCTCCTAAGAAAATTAAATTTTGGCATTAAATGACCCATAAGGAGTTGATGTACTGCTAAACAAACCAACCAAACTGGTCTGCTGGGATATGGAGAGTGGTTGATGAAAACTTTAAAGAAATTACAAATTTAAAATTCTTTCATATGTGTTTCACATTCATAAATTCAAGTAAATTATCAAGATGGAATTAATAAGCAAAGGACTATAGAATAATTAGAATAATTTTATGAAATAAAAAAGAATTCTTTCAATAAACTCTTTTAAACATTTTGTATTGTATGTTAATTTTAATTTTCTCTTAACACCATGTTCTTAGTTTTTATCTCAAGATTTTAGAATTTAACTTCTCAAATATATTCTGGTTATACAGCCACATCATGTTGAAACACCAGTTCCCATACAATCACCAAACTTGAGCAATGTCAAGCCTGGTCAGTACCTAGATGGGTGACCATGTTGGAATACCAGGTGCTGTAAGCTTGGATGGTATAATGGATAATGGCTTGGAATTGTTAATCAGAGAGCTGAGTTCTAATTTGCATTGGGTTTCTTATATTCACTTATGCGCATATACCCTTGGGAAAGGTTTGAATTCACCTTTTCTCCTCTCAACTATAGGTTAATTAGTAAGAATTGTATCACTAAACTCAGAAAAATTCCTTGCAATCTAAAAAAAAAAAATAAATCCTGGCACGAAATGGGTTTGATAAGCCATAGAAAACGTCAAATACATATTGATTTTCCTATTGATTATCATATTTTGCAAGTACTGCTTGATTGGAAGTTTTTGCTTCAGGTTTGAAATATCTTTTCCAGGAATTTGTTTTTTTGTAACAAGTTTTGAGAGGTTTTTACTTTCAAGAAACTTTAAATTTGAGAATTAAGAGGTTGCTTTAACCATTGGGCTTAAACCAGCTACTGAAGTTGCTAACAGTTCTATCTTCTTTATATATCTATATAGAGCAAGTATATTGTTAAAATAGTTGGAGTAGATAAAACTATTGATTTTACATACACTTAAAATAAGTGGAATATTTACCCCCTTTTGTGATCAAAGAAGATTGGTCATCAATTAATTTCTTTGATCACATGGACAAACCCACATTGTGTAGCTAACCATATATATATATATATATATATATATATATATATATGTGTGTGTGTGTGTGTGTATATATATATATATATATATATATATATATATATATATACACACACATACACACAAATTTATTTTGCGCCTGAATCTTGGCAAAGCATTGTTATCTAAATGTCACTGATGCAGTGAACACTAGAACTTCAGTTTTGGTTCTCTGTTCAGTAAAGTGTTCGATTAGTTTGTATATCAGTTCTCTGTTGTTGGCTAAAATAGTCACAAAACATTTCAGCTGGAATTTGACATTCAAATAGATTGAAGATATGTGCTATTGCACCAACCACTGACCAATGCTGAATCGAGATTGATTTATCTTCTTTTTTTTCTCTTTCTTAGAGATTCAGCCTCAAGAAAATTGTTGAATTATTTATTAGCTCTCTCTAAGGAAATACTGATAAGGGTTATGTGAATCAAGCAACGTACATTTATTGTAGTTTTCATAAAACTTTATTACACTTCACCTTCTATTGACCAAATTTGAAATCTTTCCTGGAATGACCTTGTAAATATTGACTGCTAATTACAGAATAGTAAAGTGCAGGATTTGTTTTGTCTTGGCTATAATTGATTTGAACATCTAATGAAAGCTAAGCTAACATTTAGTTTAAATTATAAATTATTGCAAATATTGATACAAGATGGAAATTAGGAAAAAGAAAAGCTGTTTTTGCTTGATTTTCATCTTTTTCTTTTTTTTTTCTTCATTGGTGGTTTGTTTGTTTGTTTTTTTTTTAATTATTTTTTTTAAGAAAATACCTTCTTCATATTGAACTGGTGTACCAAAATATTAGACAGTGGCACACATTATGGTTTTCTCACCTTCCCACACCTATATAAAAGGACTCAGATATATAATTGGTAAAAAAGTAATATAACTGTGCAGAAAGGATTATTAGCTGTAAGAAGACAGGATACAGGAAAATCAGCAAGTGAGACAACCAAAGATGTGAGCTAAAAATTGGAGAACTCAGAAGCAAGCAGGTAAAGAAATTTAACTATTTGGATGGAAAATGTGACACAGAAATCCAAAGATGTACTGGAATGATGAAAACTGCCATCCAGAAACTAAACAAAGTACTGAAAAGAGAAACAAAGAAAAGTGGTAGATTTCTGTTATATCTATTCTTTTGTAGTGATTTTCCAAGTGTAGCTTAGATGTGGCACAAGGTCGAAAGCAGGGGACACCCAGTAAGGATCGAACTCACTACTCAGTTGTAATTGTTCTAGCGAGACAAGCTTGCTAACCATTACACCGCCTCGAGATGCCCTATCTATTCTTCTATATGGCAATGAATGCTGGATAATTTTCTTGCAGATGAAAAAGACTCAACATAACGTATAAGGTTCTTCAGATACTGAGAATAGAGCAACAAAAACATTTTAAGGAAAATGGAAAGGAAACCTTAAGTTCCAAAAGAGTTGAAATTTCTGATCCGCATAATGAAGAAAGAGGCCCTGGCGAATTTAACACTCATAAGATATATTGAATGCAGAGGGAAAAACAGTGATTAAGTAACTTAATTAGTTTGTGTGATTGGAAGTATGATAAAGTTAAAGTTGTAAAGAGCCATAATTTTTCCACATCATGACTGGATATGGGCCATAAAAGAATATATGACTATCATGGAGTCTGGAAAGATTTGATACTTTTGACTGCAAAATGATTGTTGGGGCTAGGAAGATCAGGCATTCCATCTGCAAGGTGGCATATGCTTTTGGTTTTTCTCAGACAATGGTAACCAGAGAATACAAGGAATATATGAAGCAACTTGACAAGAATGGAAGCCACCCAATGTATGTGAATGCTGGTGCACCTTAACTTGTCAGTTGATGCACAGTTCAGTATGCACTGAATTTCATGGGAGTTTGTCATTGCTGGTACCATTATTGACACCATGGCATTGGTTATTGCACTTTATCTGGGCCAAGTGAACAATGTCATTAGACCACGGAAGACCAGTGCCATGTTCCCAGATTAGACAAATCAAGTTTCCAGTTCTTTTGGGTAATCTGTTGAGTTTGTGTTTGGACTGTATGAAACTATGGATCCAGCCTGCCAACACTGTTGTACAAGATTATGCTGCTTCCAGCGAATTAAGCCTGTAAGTCTCCACGTGAAATGGTACCACAGAATCACAAGCAGAGAGCTCCACCAAATAACAGAAACCTCGTCACTTTAGGATTTTCAATAACGGCAATAACAACTAAAATGGATGTCACATGTAACTTGAAGAGAAAATGATGTAATTAAGATGTTGGCATTCCACACCACTTCAAACAAAAAGTTTGGAAGGAAGCCTTCATCAATACTGAATAGTGATAATAGCAGATTTGAGAAACCTGTTTTCCTGAAAAATTGTTTTAATAGAAAGATTTTATAAATTTCAACTAGTGGTAGCACTAGCTGCTTGGTCAATGAATGTTGAATGTTTCTTTATAAGGAAACAGTTAATATTACCATTTCCATACTGATTTTGTAATGGCACCATGTATATTGTTGGAGATTGCAAATACCATTAATGAAGATGGAGTCTGTCTTGACAGGTGTGATATATATATATATATATATGTTTGAAATGGTACAAAAGCGTATTAAGGCATTAAAAACAAGAAATTTTATGTTGTAGCCCATGATAGATTTAAAACAAAACACACACCAGTCGACCAGTTTCGTCCCCTCTCATCAGAACTGTTTACGGGGAACTAAAATTATGAGAAAAAGAAAGTCTGTCATGGATGACATGAATGAGTGGACAGGGAGAAAAAAAAAAAAAAAAATTATAAAAAATGATACCAACAAAAATACTAGAAGTGCAGCACAGCAAGTCCAAGCAAACAATCTTTGTTTGCAAAGAGCAGGTTGCCTGGACCTGATGTAAAGCGACTCCAACCCCTTAAGATGGAATAATGAGTGCGAACTGGCCAAAACGGAAAACCAGTTCACACTGAAAACCATCGCACAAGTGGGATTCTTTATAAAGTGATCTGCAATCGAAGAACCATACGTGTTACGCCCAAAGAAAATTTTTTGTTCAGTATTATAGCAGGTACATGTTGTTTAATTCTAACGTCCAACCGCTGTGTCGTTCTACCTATGTAATCGCATCCACAACTACATTTGAAATGGTAAATAACAGAATTAATATGGTGGTGGTGGTGGGGGGGGTCTTTACAAATAGATGAAAGTACGGACTTAGTTTGAAAGACAACACGAATATATTTTTACTAAAATTGCACAAAAAATTCTTGAAATACTAAAGAGTAAATTTATTCTATAAAATTGCCTTTGGCTTCAACCATGGCCTCCAGACGACTTCGGAATCTTCTGAAACTCTTCTGGATGGTCTTCTTGATTAAGTTGTTGAATGCTGCCATAATGCTTGCCTTCAGTTCATTTTTGGTGTTACAAGGAGTTTTGTTGATCTTTCACCCAACTGTGTGCTGCACATAATAATCAAGGGGGTTGCTGTCTGGGGAGTTAGGTGGCCAAATGTAAGGGGTGATGTGGTTGCAGAAATTGTCTGACAGCTATGACTGGGTTCTCCTCTTTGTGTAGCATGGTGCAGAGTCCTATTGCCAGAGATAGGGTCTTCCAATAGCCGTCCTCTTGACTCAGGTCAGCACTGTCTCCTCAAGACACTTGATGCAAGCCTCTGTGTTGAGTCCGAGGCCCTCACCAACAAATTTGTGAGTCTTTTCTTAGAATGATCAGAGTTAGTTTTCTTAGCTGCTGTACCTTCATAATCACCATTAGACACATCGAATCTTTCCAAATCAGATTGATACCCAAACACTTTGAAATGTTTGTATTAGAGCTTCCAGTGTGAATACTAAGCTGTACAGCATGCTGTTTCTAAATTTCTGGCAGAGTGAATTGTGTCATGATGCTCTTTTTCTTACTGATGGTGCCCAACTGACCCTACTATACTGTGCAGTTGACAAAATCAAAAACAATGTGCATGCATGAAATTAAAAATATAAAATGGCGACAATTTATCCATCGCACCCTGTATAATGAGGCCAAAACAACACACATGGCACTCAGCATGAAACACTGTCACTACTCTGTGCTGACCTCAGTGTCCACTTTGGTATTTTATATATATATATATATATATATATATATATATATATATATATATACTTACATAATTTCCAAGAGGATAGAATCCAGGTAGAACTCAATGTCCAGGACAGAAAGTGTATGTGTCATCCTACTTGACTTTGCTAAAAAAAAAAAAAAAAAAAAAAATATTGATGGGAGAACTTCTTAAGCCTATAAAAAGGCATGCATTTCTCTCCCTAGCCTCTTTTACAACTTT